CATCTGCTTTGTTTATTGGACCTATAGGGTAAGATAGTTAAGAAAGAATATCACAGCTAAGAGAATAACACGAAACACCAATTTTAACACACCTGTCTCAGAAAATAATAAGGCATCTTTAAAAAAAAAAAAAATGTTGATGATTCTAACAAGACAATACACTCAAAATAGTAGACATAAGAGAACTCTACAACTGACAGACATAAAATACACATTTTTTGCAAATCACACACAGAACAAGTACAGAAACAGACTGCAGATTGGGCCATAAAGGAAACTTCAGTACCTCTCAAAGACTCAATATTACACAGACTGTGCTCTTGAAATATAGCACAATAAAACAAAAATTATAAATTAACGATAAAAAGATAGGTGCTTAAAAATAAATTAATGTTAGTTAAAAACCCAAGATTTTAAACAGTAAATTAAGAAATAGAGTATTCACAATTGCATAAAAATTATAATTCTAGATGTCAAACTAGACAGACACAGCTAAAGCAGAACTTAGAAGGCAATTTATAATTTTGAAGAATTTACCAGAAAACAAGTTAAAAAAAAAAAAAAAAAAAAAAAAAAAAAAAAAAAAAAAAAAAACAAGTTAAAAAAAAAAAAAAAAGCATTATAACCAAGAAGTTGGAAAAAGAACTACATAACAAATGCAAAGAAATAAGAAGAGAGAAAATAGCAAAATAAGGGCATCTACAAACGAATGAATATAGAACTATCACCACCAAACAAAACAAAACAAAAATAACATATGACGGTCAATGAAATTAAAACCTACTTTTGGAAAACACTAATAAGATAGGCTTTTCAAAAATTTAACGAGAAAAAATAGATGATAAAAATACATTACAAAGCTGGACACAGTGGTTTTTGCTTGTAATCCCAGCACTTTGGGAGGACTGCTTGAACCCAGGACTTTGAGACAAGCCTGGGCAACATAGCAAGACCCTGTCTGTGCAAAACCCTTAAAAAGTTAGCCTGGCATAGTGGCGTGCACCTATAATTTTGGCTACTCAGGAGGCTGAGGCGGGAGGATCGCAAGTCCAGGAGTTCAAAGCTATGGTGAGCTGTGATTGTGCTACGCATTTTAGCCTGGGCAACAGAGTGAGGCCCCACCTCTAAAAATAAATAAATAAAAATAAATTGCAGAACTAAAAGAGAAAAATAACTGCAGACAGGTTTTTACAAAAGAATTATGGATAGTACATCAATACAAACTATGAGTTGGTACATTTTAAAATCTATATGATGTAGATATATTTCTCAAAAAAATTAAAACACAATATTTAGTTCAAGAATAAATATAAAACTGTAATGAACTAATAGCTATTAAAGAAACAGAAATGAGGCTGGGCATGGTGGCTCATGCCTGTAATGCCAGCCCTGAGGCATCACACATTCTTGTAGCAGAATAGAAAGAGCAAGGATTAGGGTCAGAATCAAGTTCAAACACTAGCTGAGGCACTTAACATCTCTGATTTCTTGGACCAATTACTAAACCTCCATGAAAAAATGGAGTTACTTTAAAAGTGGATGTTTTCTAAACATGCCTGGGAGATGCAAGTCATCCAAATAATGTTAGGGGAAACAAATCTCACGATTTTTGTTTCCCTGATTTAGTTATGCTGAGGTTTTAAGTTAGTCTTAAGTCGGTGACAAAGCTACTGTTTTCTACTTAACTTTTGTTTGTTTTGAGGGAAATGGAGACTTAGGAAAAAAAGCAGCTTCCCCCATGACGGCATGAAGAAAAGCCACACAGCCCTCCAGTGGAACCATCAGAACAAGGGGCTAACATAGTTCTCCGCCAGAGCCTCTTCCCTGAGGTAATGAGGAGACCCCTGGAACAACTGCAGGTGCAGAGAAATGCCACCACTAGATCGAGTGTCTGTCCCGTCATAGGGAGGCCACTGGAACAGCTTTCCAATTGTGTGCTAGTCAAGTGTCGCATCAAAACCCTTTCTGTAGTTTGTTTGAGCAAATAAAAAAATCCTGGAGATGGATGGTTGTACAATGTGCATGTATTTAACACTGATTAATACATTAAAGATGGTTAAAACAGTAAATTTGGTTATGTATATTTTACCACAATTTTAAAAAGAACCCTATTGATGGCCAAAAAATTGGTTCCCTTATCAACATCCCACTGAGGGACTAAGTTATAGATTTATTATTCTGACTTTTGAAACCAGCAACTCTTTTTTTTTTTTTTTGAGACGATGTCTCCCTCTGTCACCAGGCTGGCGTGCAGTGGCACAATCTTGGCTCACTGCAAACTTTGCC